GAGTGTTAAAACAAATCTGCTTGTGGGAATTATCTCATTGCGAATGCTCCTCCTCCAGTCTTCGGCGTTCAACTTGCTGAGCTTCCTGCAGGTTGGCTAATGCGCTGGTCCAACTATCAAGAATGCAGTTGGAGCGCACTCAAAGCACGAGGCAAGGTCCTTCTCCAGCCTAAGCCGCTTCTCCTCAGCCTGCCTGGCCTCCTAAGGAGCTCAATTCACAGAAAGTGCCAACCATATGCCGCATCTTCTGTGCGTCCTCGTCCTCTTGCCGTCTCTTGTCGATGTCCTGAGCTTCCTGCATAGAACAGCATGCCAATTCACATAGTAAGAAGAAGTACATCTCTGTGTTTCAGCCAGGTCCAAAGAGGGAGCGCGGGCATATATACCTGGGGAACCCTGTTTTCTCACCCTCCAAACCTTTTTTTTTCAACCCTTCCCTGTTTTTGCAACCCTTCACCCACCCTTTCTATTTAACCCTCCCCCCATGTTTTTTAACCCTCCCCCTTCTTTTTTAACCCTCCCCCCTTTCTTTCTGACCCTCCACCTCTTCCTTTTAACCCTCCATTTCTTTCTTGCCAACCCTGTGGACGAAGCCTGCGGCAACTGCGCTAAGCAACTTTTTAGGGTTAGGTTGGTTTAGGAAAGGTTTTGGATTTAGGGTTGGTTTAGGGTGGGTTTGGGGGGGGGTCGGTTTTGTGTTGGTTTAGGTTGGGCTTAGGGTCGGATTTAAGGCTAGTTTAGGGTGGGATTAGGGTTTGTGTAGGAAGGGTTTAGAGGCGGGGCAGGGCTTGTTGAGGGTGTGGTTTAGGGTTGGTTTGGGATGGGAAGGGTAAGTTTATGGTCGGTGTACGTTTAAGGTTGGTTTAGAGTAGGTCTGTGCTGGGTATAGGGTGGGTTCAAAGTTGGATGAGGGCGGGTTTTTGGCTTGGAGAATGGGTCTACAGTGGGTGTGTGATTGGTTTTGGGTTGGTGTAGGATGGATTTAGGGTTGGTTAAGGGTGGGTTTAGAATGGGTTTAGGGTGAGGTCAGGGTTGGGTTTAAGGTTGGATTTACACAGTGTTAGTTTAGGTGGTTGGCTTAGAATCTGTTTGAGGTGGGTTTGGGGTCGGCTTAGGGTGCAAAGTTGGATTTGGTTAAATTAGAGCAGGATTAGGGTTGATGTAGGCCGGGGTTAGGGTTCGGTGGGCTTAAGTTTGGTTTAGGTGGTCTAGAGTAGGTCTGTGGTGGCTGTAGGGTTGGCTTAGGGTTGGTGTAGGGTTGGTTCAGGTCGGGTTTGCGGTGGCGGCATTGGGGTTGGGCGATTTGGGGTGGCTTGATTTCAGGTGGTTTTAAGGGCATGTTGTTCGTTTGTTTTGGGTTGGATGTAGGTTGGTTCAGGGTTGGTCTGGGATGGCTTAGGTGGGGTTTGGGGTTGGTTTATATAGGCTTGGTGGATTGGCTTTACAGTTGGCCTGGGGTGGGCTGTAGCTGGATTCAGTTGGCCTGGGGTGGGCTGTAGCTGGATTTAGGGTTGGGTCAGGCTTAGCTTAGAGTCTCAGGGTGGGTTTAGAGTTGGATCAGGGTGGGTTCATGGTTGGTACAGGGTGGGCTTATGGTTGGTTTGAAGTGGCTCAGGGTTGGCTAGGGTTGGTGTAGGGCTGGCCTAGGTTGGTTTGGGTTGAGTTTAGGGTGGGTTTAGCGTGTTTAGGGTGGGGATTTGGGTGAGTTTAGGGTGGGGGCAAGGTTGGTTTAGGGTTGGTTTTTGGTGTTTGTGGGCTTGAGTTTAGGGTTGGTTTTCGGGGGTGCTTCGGGATTGGTTAAAGCTGGGATTAGAGTGGGTTTAGGATTGGGTTAGGGTTGGGTTGAGGGTTGGTTCTGGGTCGGTGGGTCTGTTCAGGGTTGGTGTAGGTTGGGCTTAGGGTTGCACTAAGGCTAGAGTAGAGTGGGATTGGGGTTTAGGCGGGTTTAGGGTGGGGTTGGATCAAGGTTATGGTGGATTTAGAGTTAGTGTAGGGTGGGATTAGGGTGGGTTCAGGATTGGCTTGTTTGTTTGGGCTTGGTTTAGTTTGTTGATTTAGGGTTGGTTTAGGGTCGGTTTGGGATTGGTTGCGGGTGGGTTATGTATAGTTTAGGGTGGTTTCGAGTAGGTCTGTGGTGGTGTAGGGTGGGTGTAGCTTGGCTTGGGGTGGGTCTAGGGTTGGATAAGAGATGTTTCTGGTTTGCTCAGTGCTTGTGTAGCGTGATGGTGGGTTTGGGGTTGGTTTGGGCGTGTTTGGCTGGTTTGAGATTGATTTCAAGATATTGAGGGTTGGCAAGGTTTGTTTGTTGGTTTGGGTTGGGTGCGGGGCGGGCTTGGGTTGTTTCAGGTTGGGTTTAGGGTGGGTTTTTGGAGAGGTGAAAAGAAAGGATTTCTCAGGGTTGGAGAAACAAGGTTGCTTCAGACGGTTCCCAAGCAGGGTTTGAGGGTTGAAAAAAAAAGGAAGGGCCACAAAAACAAGTTTGGAGGGTAAAACAAAAAAAGGGAGCCCTATATACCTAGCCTGCATGCAAACAATAAAGACAGGGCTGCGGTTCCTGCCGCAAGCCTTGCAGAGGCAGCGCTGTTTCGACCGATTTGGAGCCATGTTCATCTTTGTTTAGTGGGCCTGGTACCGGGATGGTGTGACGTGTCCGCCATGGACATTGCGCAGTGGCGAAATGATGGTCTGGATCTATGCAGCGGTATCTTTCATGAGCATGGCTGCCAAACGGAAATGTGCTATCAAGTGCTGCGTGGTGGTTGCGGACACCGAGTGCGATGTTCAGTTGGTCAAGCTGCTTGCCCAGTGCTTTCACGCTGGAGTATGGCAGTGGATGGGCGTGCGGCCTCGCAGCTTGGTTAAAATGGGGAGCTTACTCTGGATGAATACTTTCCTTCAGCTTGGCAAACTTGATGAGAAGCCTGTCATGAATCCTTGGTGATGAGCAACGCAGTGCTTTCCTGTGGTGGCCTGACGCAATTCAACCAAGGTAGGGATGGTGGCCCGGCATCGACACGTTTGCTTGTAGAAGCCCACATCAATCGTGGTTTCTGCAGCGAGGTGGAGCACTGAACTAGCTGGCAATCAGCTGAAGGTGTAACAGAATTTCGGGCTTCGCACAATAACAGGTCTAGTCTGTTGTGAGGGCTCCAGCAGCCAGGTTCCGCAAGGCCTTTGTGCTTTCAGCCATCAAATCGCTTTTGCTCAGCGCTCAGTGGCTCCTTTGAAGGTGATTGTCCATCTGCCTGTGCCACCCGCTTTTTCGGCCACGGTGCAGCGGGCATTCGTAGCGTAAGGTGGAACCTTGTGGTCTCATTGGTGTTTATTCCTACTGCTTTGTTTTAGCCTTTTGGTTGTGGCATCATTTGTGGTTGATATAGCTGGTTTGTTGGCTGCGTCTGATGACTCTAATTGACTTACCGCATGGATTGCTCGTTTGAAGCAAATATAAGTTAAGCCCGGCAATGGGTTACTTGTCTCCCCATCCGCCCGGTGCTGTTTTGCTCCTGAAATATTAAAAAAAAAAAAGATGACCTGCTGTGAAACCACTGCCAAGTCCACAAATTGTCGGTTCTTGCAGGCCTCAGTCTCAACTTGCTGGCTTCCAGCCGCTGCACCTGCACAAACAGCTCAACGGGTCCCTGCCTTGTGGCTTCCTCAAGTCACACATGGTCGGATTCATGTCCATGTACTAGCTCCGGTCATGCCTTCGGCTTCAGCTGCTTTGGCCGCCGCCTTGGCTGCCGCTACTTTGGCGGCCGCTGCTTCTGCCTTGACTGTGGGCTTTGCACTTGGTAAGATTCGAGCCAAGGTGAAACTCTACATCTAAAGATTGTGCTCATTTCATGATAGTGAGCCGCCTGATCAGCCTAATCCCTATCATTTTGTCCAGGCGTTTAAATATGCTGAAGGGATGTCTAAGTCCCTTATCATTTTCCTTGCAAATTTCAGGAGAGACGGCAATTCGAAACAGCTTCAGGACGATTTTGACCCCGTCTCCAATGGCCTCTTTTCGCTTTGCTTCCGCCTGCGAACGTTGCTGAGCCTGGGTGCCACAGCGTGTCCAGCAGTGTCAGGGGCCATGCTTTGTGCACAGTCGATCTACATTTGGATCCGACTATATGGGTATGGGTCAAAATTAAACCACCAAAAAACCACAGGTTCTAGTCATTGTTTCCATTTACTAGGGTGCCATTTTGGGTACCTATTTTTGACCCGCAGCCATATGTTCAGCATAGTGGATAAGCCCGCGACCCGCCGCTCAGCATCCGCAGCGGCTTTGGCACGTGCTGCCACCTGCCAGTGCTGCTGTCCCTGCTGTCCGTATCCAAGGTCACCGCCCGTACTGAGCTCAATGCGTAACGAGCATCAATGAGGAACCAACAACGGTCCGATGCAGTCGATGATACGCAACATTCAGAACATCTCAAAACTCAGAAACAGCCCCTAGGCTTAATTTGAAACGCGTAGATACAAACAGACTCTGTTTCCCTGGCCTTGGCCGCCTCTGTCGCCCGCGCTTCTGCCTTCGCCCGCAGCGAAGCTGCCGCCTGCCGCGCCTGCCTGGGCTGCTGAAACTCGGCTGAGAACGCAGGGGGTGGGGGGGGGGGGTTGTGGGTGAGGTTGGGGGGTTGTGGGTGGGGTTGGGGGGTTGTGGGCACCACTCCGTGTCCCAAAAAATGCCAGGTGCAATACCAAGCAGCTCGAGTGCATTTTTGGCAGTCCGTGCTTGAAGATCAGCCGCTTCTGCAGCCTCTACGCACGGTCGCTGCCAGAAAATAGTACTTGGCAAATGATTTGTTGGGCCCTCATCCTTTATCATGCGGCAGTGGGAAATGTGGCACAGCAATATATAACCAGTGTTTCTAGAGCTTGCAAGCTGGGTAGAAACTTGAGAAGAAATCCACCGTGCGGCAGACGCGGGAAGGCCCGTGAATCTGTGAAAAGGACCCAAGATCCCAACATGCAGTGAACTGCATGTTGACCGAGGCAAAGGCGGTCATTAAAAAAAAAAAAAAGAGGCAAGAGTTAACAAGCGAACGCTGCAGCTTGAGTTGCCTTCTTCAACTGCTCCACCTCCTCGTCTGCGCGTGCCTTGGCAGCCTCAGGGCCCACGCAGTTCACACAAGGCTACGGTCAGTACAGCTGCAGTTGCTTCTAGAGACTATGGCTGCACCGGGTGCAGTACAGCCAACACGTCGCGCCTCGACTTCCCGCAAATACTCCGCTGCCTCTTCAACAGCTTGTGCCAAGTCCTGCTTGCGCAATCAAAATGCCAGTTGGCGCCCATGAAATCAGGAGATGGGCACAAACGCTGGAGGCGCCATGTACAAGGCGTGCTACCAAATTGGGGCCCCAATCACAAGCTTCGGACGCCCAGACCTCGGGGCTCTTGCCGCCGCCGGCGGTTTGTGCAGAATGCAGCTGCAGCTTGGCAGCCTCCACCGCAGCCAGCCACTCCCGCGCTTCCTGGGTGCGGGCACAATGCACAGAGCACACCCAGGAGACTCGAGAAAGCCTCTGACTCCTGACATATGCTTTTAAAGACATAGTATTATCCCTATCCCTGTAAAGCCTCTGAATACCAGAGAAATCAAACCCTGGCACATCTCTAAGACAAGTCAGCTGCAAATTGGTCAGGAAGTGATCGTTCAAACTCCGGACTTCGAGCTTGAGGCTCACCCCGCGTTCCCCGATTTCCCCAAGTTGAGCTCGCTGCTAGCTGGGCCAAGCGCAGCCGGTCTGCAGCGCCCTGCGCCTGCTTCCCCCGCAGCTCTGCCTCCGCGCGAGATTGTGCGGTATGCGGTCGTCCCCTTTTGCCGCTTCTGACACAGCCCAAGGAGACAACAACTCCAACAATGTTCCTGATGCTCAGTCTGGACGTCGGGGAGCTCTTGCTGATTCATTGAGCTACAGTTAAATTCCGGACAATGTTGGTGGCTGCAAACGCGTAACAGTTGCGAACAAGTACTGCCCCAACAGGACACAAGCTCCGTCCTTGCAGATACAAATCTTATTGGGCCAGGCAAGCCGGTCTCTTCTGCAGCATCGATAGAAATAGGCAGGCGTCGCTGCTTCGCGGTGCCGCCTCCTCATCGGCGCGCCGGAGCGCTCGAGCATGAGCATCCTTGCAGCATGTGAGAGATTCAGGTGACGGGTGCCAAGCTTTTGGCATAGATAAGTGAAAAATCGTGGCAAAGTAAACTTGAACAGCCGTGCTGTCCACAAAGGCACACTTGGCATAAGCTGACAACAAAGTGCCATCAGCCCCCAATCTCCAAGGCTTGCCACGACAAATGCCGACACTAGCCATCACTAGCCCATGGTGGCTTGTGCCTGAGCAGCAGCCTCCTGCACTGCGTGCAGTGCAGCTATCTGTGCTCCAGGCTCCTGCAAGCCGCAAGCTTGCTGAGCATACAACCCATCCATACATACTTTTTTCAAGACTCTCTGACACACTCACAAGCTCCGAACCAAGCTCCCTACCCTGCCACACCCTGACAATACAGTAGCTCGTTTGGAGACTACGTCCGGTCAGCCTCCTCTCCAGCATCTGGTTGGATATCGGAGACAGTTGGAATAGCTGGCATCGTCTCCTGGCAGGATACAAGTGCTGGTGGCCATGCACACCACGCGGCACCTCCAGCGTGACCGCTTCTGCCTCTTCCAAGGCCTGTCGGATAGCCTGACATCACACGCTGGCTTACATAGCGAGCGAGAGAGGAGGCACAGCTAATCAAATGGAAAGCAAGAAAAACTTCCTGCCTGCTGCCTCCCTTCCTGGATCTCCGTCTTGTGCTTGTACCAGGCTTTGGAAAAGGTCTCGGCCTCTAAATGACAAACATGGCCAGGCTACAAGCTTCCAAAGCGTGTCACAAGATGGTCTCACTAAGTCCGGCTCCTTGCAGTGCAAGCGCCAAGACATGAACAAATGCACCTTCAGGGCAAGCCTCTGCATTGTGTGCCTTGCTGACTAAGGTGGTCTTTATCCATGCAAACCTGGCCCACCAAGTCAGCGCTCAAATACGGATTGGCCTGCATGATTTTCATCCGATAGTGGAAAAGCACTTCACCAACCTCAGGTCGCAGCTTGGCCCAAGAAACCGGAAACCGACACTCGGCTGGGCCCTGGACGTTCTCGAGACCGATGGCTCTGTGCTTCGAGATGCGAAAAGCGCTCAATGCTCTGCCTGCACAAACGGACCCTTGCGGCCGTTTGGCCAAAAGCTCCATGCAAATGAAGGGCAGTGCCTTGAAGGCGGAGCGCGTGGGCCTCTGACCTTGCGCAAGGCGTGTTTTTGTCGGAGTCCCTTCCACTCTCCCTCTCTCTCCCTCTTTCTCCCTCTCTCTTTCTCTGTGCTTTCGAATCTGAGCTTGCGGCTCCTCCAAGATGCGAGCCGCCTCTGCCTCCCGCCACTTCTGCGCCTTCTCCAAGATCAGCCACTGATGCCACGCCTGAGCTCTCGAAGCAAAGCTGAACGAAAATTTTGGCCGGAGGGCCCGGCAAAAAAGCACCGCAGCCCCGCGTAACGGAGCTTCACCTGATGCGGGATGAATCGCGTTCGAAGCGGGACCGCTTTTGCCGGTAAGAAGACACATCAACCACCAAGAAGTTGTCAACAATATATATATATATAATATATCCATCTACTGTATACCATAGAATCTCACAGAGGGTCCTGGGTGAGGCTTGAAGAGGCCCCGCACCACTGGCCCTGCCTTCAACCGGCCAGCTAAAACTTCCACCGCATTGGTGGTCTGGTCTGCCAACTTCTGCTCCAAGCCAGCACAGCCTCGATGCATACAGCAATAAAGCGGAACAAATTCCAAAGCAGCTTTCGGGGCGAAAGCGGCTGCACCCAAACAGCCACCCACCAGGAACTTCAGGATGTCTTGGGGCCCCCGCTGTCATCCAGCATCATCATAGTCCGCTTGCTGCGGCGTAGCTCTTGTTCCAGCGACTCTGCGTAGGAACACCTGAGCAATCATCAAACACCTCTCACTCAGCCGTGTCTCAAGAGGGACTTTCAAACTCTGTGGAATGCATTTGCTTGGGGGATTCATTGAGAGACACATAACGTTCTATTAGAATATCAGTCTGCTGACTTCCGTTGGTAACAACGCCAGCTGACAGGCAGAGTCAGCTGAGCAAGCGAGCGCTCCTTTTTCCACAATGTCTGGGTACAAGAAACAATAAGGAAATGCTTCCTACCATCCCACATCTTTGCAGACTTTGCTGGACATCCTGTCAAGCATATCGCATCACCTACACAAGAAAACAGAAAAGCACCAAACACACCTAAGAAAGTCCATCTCCATTACTAACCGAAGAGAATTTCTTGGGCCCAGCCTCTCCAGACTGCAACGGGGATCGGGGATCCTACGTCAAAGCAGCTTCACCGCCAGCGAGGCGCAGGAAACGCGTAGTACTTGCAAATGGCCTGGGACCGACCGAGACGGCGCCTTCTCAGTTTGGATCCTTTGGTTCACCTTCGAAACGCATAAAAATGCGGTTCGATCTGACCGCAAAAACGGCTCCCTTCAAGTTTGATCGGACTTCCACAAAACCCCTTCTGCGAAACCCAAGGCAGCCGTATGCAGGGCACCTTCCGCGAGCCATGTGTCTTTGTGGCTTCCGTGGGCCTAGCTTCTGAAAAATTCGCGCGCACGATCTGCGAGTCATTCTGGAAGGAGCAAATCAGCCGCGTCCCTTCCGCGAGCTTCTGCGGGAAAAAAACCTCTGCAAATCTTCCGCGGCTGCATTGTGGTGCTGCCTTTCTTGTGAATATGTCCACCTCTAGACATTGTAGCTTGAGCGGTCCAAAGAAAAACACCACTCAAATCTACATACTGTGCGTGCGCAGAGTTTAGATGCTCCAAGGGTAGACAAGCTGGGCAAGCAGCTGGGATCTGCGGCTAGAAACAGCGCACTTTGGACAAGCCGGTTTCTCTCTCGCGTTCCCTCCCATGCAACCAAACAAAGCTCCCGCAAACAGTCCGAGGAGAAAAGAGTAGGGCACGCGAGAATCTAAAAAATGCAGCGGCCCCCCCCCCCTCGCCATGGTCATGGTTCAGACGCATCAAAAGACTGGTTCAGGGTCAGTTTAGGGTTGGTTTAGGGTTGGTTTGGGGCTAGTTTGGGGTTGGTGTAAAGGGTTAGGGTTGGCTCAGTTGGTTTAGGGTGGGTGGAGGTTGGTTTGGGGTTGGCTTGGGTTGGTTTGTTTGGGGTTGGCTTACGGTGGGTTTAGGGTTTGCTTAGGGTCGGTTTAAGTTTAGGACAAGCAAGGTCTCGGAATGCAAGGGTGCAAGTTCAGCGGCTCGAGGGGTCTGGGGACCGTAGCAGCGGAGTGAGGTGCAGAGATGTACAGTATGTCAGGTGACAACATATCGTGGAAGATATCATGACTTATCTTCCAGGATACTATCGCATAAGTTTTGGGGACGCAATCCCGCCTCGAGCTCCTTTCGCAGTGCAGCAGCGTGGTCGGGCCCCTCGCAGCCCTGGACACGGAAGCAGTCCGAGGCCACCTGGCAATCAAGCCGAAATGGAAGACTCATACATTTGGCCATGGGTCAAAATCCCGTACTGCCAGTGAACATCCGAATCCCCACTAAAATAGACTAAAATGGGTAGTGCACCTACCCCAAAATGGTACCCGGTGGCGCGATGCGTCGCGCGTCGCGCGTCGTGCCTCGGCCTCGACCCGCAAGCGGAAATTGGCAGAGAGATGGCCCAGATCTCCCCGCAAGTCGGTGATGACCTGCCCTTGGACCTGGCGATCGACCCTCCGGTAGCAAGAAGAGTGCCAAAAGGAGGTCAAGCGGTCAAGCGGTCAGGCGCTGCATGACTGGCAGTAAGGCTGTGGCTTTGCTTAGAGTTCCAGGCCTCAGCATGCTTGAAGACACGGGGAAAATTTCGGGCGTGCTAGAGGCTAAGAGTGTCTCTTCTTTGCTTGGCTCACATCAAGGCGGAATGCGCTGTTGGCTTTACAAACAGCTAGAGATATCAGCGCCTCAGCAGAAATGGCCATATGCAAATCTGGGAAAAGCATGCCTGTCAGAGCCTGACAAGATCATTTTGATCAGCTAAAACTATACACTGGATTGCCAACACAGGGCCAGAACCGGCTGATCTATACACTTCCTTCTCTCATCAAAACCATGGACACCCTAGGCACCACCCAGCGGGGCACATCTTGAGTTCTGAACCTGGCCCCTGTCCCAAAGGGCCGGCAATACCTCCATCGGGGTCGGATGCATCTTCGTGGGCCAGGGATGTGGCAGGTTCACACTCTCCAGCACAAGATCTGCAAGACTTTCATGGCCGGCTCTCTCTTCTTGCATCAACTTCCCCAACTCCGCTGCGGCTTGCCCAAGACCAGGCTCTTCTGTTAAGCGCCGGAAGGCCCTTGCCAGAAGGTCCTCATCAACACTGGCGATCATCGGAAGGTTGATGCCAAGCTGGAGTTGCTCCAAGTGCTCCGCCCACCATGGCTGATCCCAAGCCACTGCCAGGATCGTTTGCGGGATTCCTGCGCGTGCGGCTGCAGCCACAGTGCCAGCCCCTCCATGGTGGACTGCACCAGAACATCGAGGCAGCAGCCAATCATGGGGGCAAGCCTCCAAAGCAAACACATGATTGGAAGCATACTCCTTCAGCGCACCGAAGTCTTTGGTCTTCTCAGGGTCCAGTTGGGAGGGGCTCAAGCCTGCCCAACCCCCCACCATGACGCACCGCAGGTTGGCAGCCACTAAAGCACGGAGTACTTTCTCGGTGGCCTCTCGAGGGTCGCCGACACACAGCGAGCCAAAGCCCACATAGAGCGGTTTGGAGGGATGTGCCAGGAAAGCCAAAAGCTCAGGTGATGCCTGATAATCCGGTGAATCCGCAAACAGGCAGCCAGTCTGCCTGGCAAATGGAAATGCCACACGCAAGTCTGCTGGCTCTGGCAAAAGATGAGGACTCCAGCAGTTGGCTTCATGGGCGCATTGGTACACTGCTTGTGTTTCAGCAACATCCTTGTGCTGTCTCAATCCCCAGCGGGCACGGAGAAGATTCAGCTGCTGGAACTCTTCCTGAGTGATATAGCTTTCCCAAAGCTGCTTGTGAGCTTGCAGTGGATGTTCCCACAAACCCAGATCCTCCAGGAACGCTCTGGTGAAAAAGGCAGGATGCGCAAAAGCGGATGGAAGGAAGGGCATAAAGAGCGTGTTGACCAAAGGCAAGGAAAAGGCCTCGGCCACAGCAATCAAAGGCACAAAGCTAGGATGGCCCACCAGCGCATCAGCATGGAAGCTGCGAACGAAGTCATAGACCTCCTCTGCTGGGTTCACCCCCGATGCCAACATCTGCTGCCTCTGAGAGCTGTTGAAGGCTGTGATGCATAAAGCACCATCCCCGGCAGCGATGGCTGCTTGCATCCCATCGCTCTGGATGGCTGATTTGGGGTCAAACGACATACCAAAAGCTTCTATATCGCGCTCCTCCACCAAAGGCACGACGCACTTCGGGCAACAAATGGCCACATGGTGGCCTCGCTGCCGAAGTTCCATTGCCAATGCAAGAAGCGGCTGCACATCACCTCGCGTGCCTTTGGTAATTATGCCCACTCGCAAGGACATGGCAATGAGAGATTGTAGATGAGAGATGAAGGAAAGTTACGCCTTGAGCCTTGTTTGAGGCTAAGGTTTTCTGGCATGATTGCACAGCAGCCAGTGTGCTGAGTCCGATTGTCGTGACCGAGTCTCCTTTGCAGGAATTGACAAAATTAGTGTCCAGCATGCTTGCACACCCTGGCAGAGTGTCCGGCAACACATGCCGCCATTCCACCCAGCCATCTTGGACGGTGCCTTGTGGACTATGCAATTTGTGCTTGGTGCCACCCTGTTTTTGTTGGGCAAGACTGTGAAGCCCTAGAGGCGCAACACTCTCCGGGTGCTGACAATGCTCTCGGCACACTATGGGCCATGCGGTAGCTGTGCCACCATGTCGCCTGACCCGCCAGCTGCCTCCGGCATCAAAGGCCTTGGGAGACCATCAGAAGGCTTGCAACTAACTCGCCTTGATGACTATCGGACTTGCAGCAAGTGTTGATGCTCGATCCCCACCCAGAAGCAACTGCCGATGTCACAAGGTCTAGACGTGGGTTGGTCAAAAGGTCCGTGATGCATGGGATGATCATTCGGAATGTATTTATATGAAAATACATATATATCTATTTATATATATAATATAGAGTGTATGTATATATATATATATGTATATATGTATATATCACATGACAAAGTTATCCCATTGTCACTCGGGGGCCCCACCTCGCAACCAAGCGGGATGCCACCAGAAACCCCCGGGGCACCACGCGGAGCGCCCACCTTTCGCGCGATGCCGGTGATTTCCACCAGCTTCAAGCCTAACGCAGGCGCCAGACGACCTATGAAACGAGCCACAAAAACCAACGAGCGAACGAACAAAACGAAACAAGGCAAAACCAACAAACCACGGACCAAACAAAACAAAACCAACATACCAAACCAAACAAACCAAACAAAAGGCAAGACAAGACAGACAAGCACTGTCAAATACCTATTTTGCCGATTGCTGTTGACTCACTCGCAGTCGGCAAATGCCGCCGTGCGTGCGGAGCGGTCAGTTGCAGTTTTCCCTGGGGCTGCAGCCTGCTTGAGGCGTCACCTTCGCAGTGGCAGAATTCCGACACTCAAACCTCTTGAAGCCAACCTGTAAAGCCGAAAAATTATCAGTGCTACACCTTCATCTATCTCGAGATTTGGTTAAATAGCAACTCCTTGTAAGCTGCCAGTCTCCAGCCTCTGTTTCAGAGCCGAGGGAACCAACATTACGCGACATTGTCATGTTGGTCGCCTGGACACGGACGCCAGGCACCATCTTTTCTGCGAGGTACAGAGCTGTCTGGGCCTGAGCGTAGCTTCCGGCAGAAAAGTGCTTTAGATTTCATACC